ACGTTCTTTGTTTACTTGTTTACGGTTTGAGAGATTTCAGTTTATTTGATTTACGTTTTTACGGTAGCTCTGAGCGGGACTCGAACCCACTGTCTTTTCAAGCTAATTTTGTTTTATTTTGATGGCACGCTTGTGTACCACGCCACGACGTTGGTCGTTAAGTGGTGTTCATTTTTCTAACTACTCCAGTGTTCCGATGAGTTGAACGGAAAAGCCAAAACGATTGCTGGTTTCTGATTGCTTCGGTTCTGGTGAGTGTGTATCTAGTGTGATTCGAACCCATGTCGTTTGTATTGGGCGTTTTTTTATTTCCCATGTTGGCTACGCCGTAATATGCAACCAGTTCCCCGTTTTATTGTGATTTTGAGTGTTTAATGATGTCTTCCTCACCCGTAACGCCATGACCCAGTTTCAACCACACGGCCATTTTGCAACACAGTTCGTGACCCTTGGCGTCACCCGACTGACTGTATGAGCGTTCTGTTCAACTGTTAAGCTAGGATTTATTACCGTTATTATCATTATATTGTCACGTGATTTGTTTTACCTTATGTGTAATGTCTTAAGTATCTTTATTGTAATTTGTATATACCAATTCGTATATACCGAGGAAACGACCCCGATTGAAGGTCATGTATTTTATGACGTCACCAATTCGTGTGTAGGTACTGCTTCTAGATCTGTGCCCATTACGAATTTATATAAGATTAGAGTATGCAAGGGTGAAATAATTGAAAAGTCGTGCAAATCGCAATACAATCCAAAAGTTGCAAGACAAAAAAAATAAAACATTTCATGTTCAGGCCCATTTTGTCCTTGTCCTTAATTATTCTAAAAGTGTATAATGTTTTGCATTTTTAAAAATGTTATTATGTTTATGTTTATTATGCACATGTCCACACAAACTGAATTCTTTCAAAAATACATACCGGTACAGGTGGTACTACCAATATAGCCGTTACAAATCAAATATCAATAATTCAGTAATAGCCAAACTGTACACTAGATGTCCTGTATATTTGTTAACAGAATGTGACGATTTGACAATGGCGTTTGGAAGGTGCATTGCATTCAGTGTGTCTGTCAGTTAGGCTTAGAAGTTAAAGCCTGTCTTAATTATACACCAAATGTTTTGTTTAGACTGCATTTACTATTGTAATCATGTCTAATCTAACACAGTATGTTTAATATTTCTTACAGATATGGAGACCAATAACATCGTTATTTTACTATCCTATAATGCCACAGACAGGGTTTCATTATCTTATCAATTTGTACTTTCTCTATAACTACTCAGTAAGACTTGAAACAGGTAATTTATATTTATAAATATTGTTTCTTTTTGTGTTTTTTAAATTTTTTGTAGCAGCAATTAAAATTGTTAATACATCACTATTGTAAAACCAAAATTGCATACAATACAAGGCGGTTCCGAAGAGTAGTGATCCTTGTGTTTATAACAGTAAATACCATCACCAAAGTGGTTAGGAACCCATTTCATAAGGATCTCTACCTTGATGGCAATCCACTTGTGTAATCAAACTTGATCTTTTGTTTTTTTGCTGGTTCATTATTCAAATCATTCTTCAATATTTTTGTTCTTTTTCTCTAGGAATATTTGATGGGAAACCAGCTGATTATTTATTTATGCTTCTTTTCAACTGGATCTGTCTTGTCGTATCCTTTTATAGAAATGAGTAGAAAGCCCTGTAGCCAGGATCCTGTATAGTATTCAGCAATGCCAGGTTGTGGAATATGAAATATCTTGCAGATTTGATACCAGGTTAACACGTAGCTGAAAACTGACATACATTTGACCAAATCAATTGGAAAAGAGACATCAACAGGCGATGCATTAACTGTTGATGAATACCGTAACACTAGTTTGTATTATAATAATATAGATTTCCCTCAGGGCACTGCTGTATCAGATAACGACCTACCGTAAATTCATTGTAAAATCATTCCTGAATTCATATGGCTCTGTGATGAAATTATTATTACTACCACCATATCAAATAAACCATATGTGGGATATGGCATATATTGGTAACCAATTTGTGCCAATTTCAGTATGTGTTTGCTACGATGTATCAGTTTACATGGTTCTCTGTAGACATGTTTGACTGTCTGTATTTACTAGGTATCAAAGCTTCAGTGTCATACCTACAATGATAAATTGCAAAATATTTTCCTCAATTACATGACCATTAGATAATAGGCTTTATTGCCCCTTTGATGGTAAGTAGTATTATCTCTATCTGTTTGTAATATGTTGACTGAGGAACTATTCAAAACATCAAAAAGAACAGATAGCCTTCCCTGCTCCACCATTGACTTATTGTTTATTTTACCATTTTGACTACACCTAATGCTTATGTACTTTTGATATATCAATATGATCTTGTGGCACATAACACCATTACAGGAGAGCTCAGTATATGTAAGCTGCTTAATTTTGTGAAAAACAAATATTCGTGAATCAGTAAAATTCACAAATTTTTCTGGCGTTCTACAGCACAGAGTGTACTGTAAAATACTTTTTGCTATGAATTTTTTGCTATTTTCGCATTCAGTGAGTGATTCAGTGAAAATAAAATCCAGCGAATATACCTTTTTTCCTATATTTTACATTCAACTTGTCAAAAATCAGTGAAAATAACTTCCAATACGAAACACCCAAAGTCTTTTCATCAAAATTATTCCAACTAAAATAATAGTATTCTACAGTAGTTTTGGCTCTTTGAATGCAACAAAATGCTGAAATCGTGAATATTTCTGGGAAAGAAATTGAAACATTTTACAGTATGTATTCTCATATGTAAGGTGTATGTGAAGCATTATATTAAAATAATTCTCTAAAATGTTAGTTTTATTCTCTCTCTGCCTAATTTCAAACTTTTGTTAACCTTTTCACCTTCAGTTCTCTCTTTTCATCACAAATTCACAAAATAGTCTGTTTATAGTCTGCATTTTCCTTCAGAAGATTTGGTCAAAAATAGCCAATTTTTTTGAGTGAAAATCAAAAATTCACTTAAATTTTGTTCGTTGGCTCCAAAATTAGGGTTCATTTCCAGAAATATTAGAGAATATAAGGAAAAAAGTGCAGAAAAATTTGGGTCAGAAAGTCTGGCGATAAAAAGGTTAAAAATAAGGTCCTTCATACATTGCAATACATACTGAAATATGTTCATGTGTTTAATATTTTAATATTCATTTTCAGATTCTAATGGATCCGATGATTCTGAGTGTGCTGTATGTATGGTGTCAACTCAACAGAGATATGATTGTACAGTTCTGGTTTGGTACGCAGTTTAAAGCCATGTACTTGCCATGGGTGTTGGTGGCTTTTAATATGATTATTAGAGGAGCGTAAGTATTCCAACATTGTTTTTATATCAATTTCGCACAGTGTTTTTGATTTGACTCAAGTATTGAAAGTACTATTTTCTGACTGAATATTTACTAGTGACTGGCAACAGAAATGTCTTGCTCATTAGAGTTTATATTGAGCTGCTGTTGTCATATCACAATTTGATTTCATTTATTGATGCTACTACCAACACTCAATTCAATGATACTGTGAAATACTTCATTTTAGCTGGAATCAATTTTAGCAGAAAATACTTTTTGGGTGTTTTGTATAGGATTTATTTTCACTGATTTCTGACGAGTTGAATATAAAATATAGGAAAAAAGGTATATTCGCTTAATTTGTTTTCACTGTACCATTCCTTCAGCGAAATTAGCGAAAATTAAGTATTTTACAGTATTCATTCAAATTATCTGTATCCAATGCATTTGATATTCAGCTCTAAAAAAAAGTGATGTATTTCGTTGTTTCATTGCCCTGAAAAGATTAGTTTGTTTTTGGCAGTCTTTTCAAAAAAACAGTTTTGATACTTTAGGAACAGTTGGGTAGTTATGTAAATTACATGTGGCATTGTTTTGGTAATTCCCAGACAATCATTTCCATTTTACGGATCAGGAAACAAAAACTTTTTATCAGCAATTTTTGATCTTGAAAATAGAGTATTCAAAGAAAAACATTAGCCACAATATTATGTGTGTTGTAGATTCCTTATTAATATTATTAACCAGAAAAAAAAATTAGGAAAATCATGTAGACCAAGGAATAGTTCTCAGTAATCTGCATGAATATGGTAATTATACATCCTTATACATAAAAGAATGTTGATAGAAAGTATGAGCCACTTTTCAAAATTTCCGTATTGATGATCTACGGTATTCATTGAAATTCTCCCTAGTTGTGACAATGTTATCCTTTCCACACATTGGTAATATGGTACTGTAAAACTATTTTTACTGGCATTTAATTTAACTATTTTTCAGCAATTTCACCTGGGTTTAAGTTTAAGAACTTGGCAGGGAGACTATGAGTTCTGTTGTTATTCATATAATGAATAACATGTTCATATGGATTTAATTTAGCAAAGTTATCAGCAAAAATAGTCAAATTAAAAAACAGTGAATAACAAATGCATTGCCAGTACATACACATGATAGTACATGTACTACTGTAAAATAATTTTAGCTGGAATTAATTTTCTCTCAAAATACTTTTTGTGTGTTTTGTATGGAATTTATGTTCACTGATTTTTGATGAGTTGAATGTAAAATATAAGAAAAAAGTTATATTCGCTGATTTTATTTTCACTGAATCATTCCTTCAGTGAAAAATAGCGAAAATTAATTCCAAGCGAAAATAAAGTATTTTACAGTATCTACTTACAGTGAGTTGCTTCTCAATACATGTACATTGTAATTTCGTTTTTTATTTAATAAAGTTTTGTTCTATAAAATACAGCTGCACAGAACTCATTTCACATTCTCCTTTATGAAATCTGATTATGACTGATAAGTGTAAACTCTATGTACATGATTTATATGTTCCAAAAATCAAATTAAGTATTAATACTTTACCAGCTAATTGATTTTGTGTTGCCTGGTTACTGTATTGGTGTAAATATCTTCATGTGGAATATTTTATTGGAAATTATAACCTATTCAGACTCGTGTCCTGTGTTCAGATTCCAACCTCAGATTTAGATTCAGATCCTACTGTAGCTCTATATTCTGATGCCAGCTCCAGTTATATTCAGATTCCTACCTCAGATTCAGATTCCAACTGTAGCCCTAGATTCAGATCCAGATCCTAGCTCCAGCCCCAGATTCAGATTCCAGCATCAGATAAAAATTCAAACCTTAGATTCAGACCCCTGGCTCAGTTTGAGAACCCAAATTTACATCCAGATTATACAATCACGTGTAAATTTCAGCATCTTATTCAGATCCCAACTTCACATTCATGTTTCTTTTGTGGAAATATCATCTAAACCACTGGTCACATTGTTTTTTTTTCTGCAAAAACTGAAACTGCTGCAGTGAGGCCTGTCTAAGCTGAATGCCAATAATCATAGTTTACAGAGGCTGCAATGAAGGACTAATTTCATACTCAAAGAAAAGTTGTATAGTAACACTGAGCAAAATGCAAATATATGTTCTACATCAGTGGAATAACAATTTATATCTATATATTTGTTACAGAGGAGTGAGTGAATTGATTGGTATCGTGGTTGGTCACTTGTATTTCTTTTTGATGTTCAAGTACCCACAAGATTTTGGCGGAAGAACTTTTCTAAGTACTCCACAAATTTTGTAAGTTAATTGTGCCTTTCAGCTATACAAACTTAGTTTAATTGCAAAGGGCCACAGAGTATCAGTCCATAACATTCAACAATTTTTTGTAACTTCTAATATTGCTAGACATCAGATCACTTGTTTTCTCACATCAAAACTAAAAGTCCCTACTTCTTTCTTCAGATACAAGTACTTCCCAAACCGCCGTGGTGGTGTCTCTGGATTTGGCATGGCACCGTCGAGTCGAAGGCGTCCTGATGATGACAATGGTGGTGGTGGCGGCGGGGGACGCCATAACTGGGGTCAAGGCAATGCCCTTGGTGGAATGTAGTACAGTCTGTAATTGACTTATAAAAGTCATGGAAATTCACAATATTTTGTAGCTATTCACTGGGAACCTAAAACCCAGTCAGTGACTTTTCATGTATGCGTGTGAAAGCAAAAGAAAGGACGGACTGATTTAAAATGTATTTTTCAATTTATTTGTTCTTTGTACATTTTGTGAAGTCATCAACTCACATTATGTAAAATCTGCTAAATTAAATCTTTCTGTAAAATTACAATAGAACTCGTTTTAGTGAAAGATTCAGAATATCAAAATAGTGAAATTGAATTGTTTTTTCACAGTTGAAAGGTAGTTGACTTGTAACAAGTTTGAGTCATTTGAATTCAGCAGTGTGACACAAGATTTAATGCCTGCTTTGCTTGGTTCGTTAACTACCGGTACTTGTTAAGAATAGTAATATTTTTCTAAATGGATGCAATAAAGAGGAGTGTGAGGGTATTGATGAGTTTCTTTTTACCATTGATTTGTATCCTGGAGTGTGCATCTGTTTAGTTTAATATTGTAAATAGAAATTCACTATAATGATCAGCCATCATGAAATATTATATTACAGTGGCCATATTTGTTTTTTCAGTTGGGTTAGGACATTCGATTCCTACTGTTCCAAGCTGTATCACTTTTGTACAATGTTCTTCTTTTAATTTGGAATCTATTTTATTATCTCCATGTATTTTTTTTCTATTTTGTCTTTTATATTATATTTTCTCAGGTAGCCGCCCACTATTCTCCCATCCCCTTCTTGCTGCTCTAAATCAAAGTTAAAATAATGGGTTGCCAGATCTATGTAAGACATTTAATAACCAAGTTTTGATCTAATGTGTAATTTCCAGTCGAGTCTAAAAGAGTTCATTTTAAATTGTAACAATTTTCATTGTGTTGATAATGCCCACAATACACCTGTGCTTCACTTGAGTCATCAGAAAACAGTAAACTGCAAATCAAATGTTAGGAATCTTGGTGGGAGGTCGGGGTCATGGCGGCTTTCTAGAAATTGCATCCCCATGAATACCCTAAAATGATCATATCACAAAAATTGATAACTGTTCACAGTACCTTGTATGATAATATAGTTTGTAACATCATGTGAGTGAGCGAGTTAGTGTGATACATACATTGCATATTATTTAATAAAAGAAGTTTATGTATTTTTTTTGCCATAGATGATATTAAACATTCTCAGATTTTAATTATTTCATTGTTATTGTAAACACATTGCTTATGTATTCAGTGAATTTGAATCTGTCAGCTTGTATATTATTCCCTGTTCGACATTATTCCAAAAACAGGGCTTTGTGGATTGTGTGTTTTTGCTTGTATGCATGCTCAATTGTTTCAAGCAGTATCTTGCTCGAGCTTGGACAGTCAAAATTACCCACTATAGACTCCGGTCAGTAAAAATGACTATTTTGAAATGTAGGAATTAATCTGCTATTCAGCCAATGACTGAGAAATAAATCTAGGTCAGGGGAAGCCCCATGACCTCAAGATTTTCCCTTGCGTCATGAACCACGTGACCGAGGCCATGAGGCATAGCCATTTGGCCAAATACGTCACTCTGTTTCTTTCTCCGCGCCATGCAGGATGAAACTTTGCGGTCCAGCCTGGAAGCCTGCTTTTTTTTTCTGTTTGAGTTTTAGCTTGGGTTGCTGTCGCTAACACAGCGGCATGGCTGCTAGGATTTTTCTTATTTTTCACCCCTGTGTCGCCCCTTTTTGTGTGTAAATTTTTACAACAAAGAAAAAAACTCATCAACGCAAATTTGACCGCTGCATTTGTTTTCTTTGTGTCAGCTTTCATCTGTAATTCGTTCCCCTCATGCATGTCGTGTTCATTTTTATGTTTTACCAATGTATTTAGAAATGGATAGATGTAATGACAGCACAAGAGGCTCACCGCTGTTCTTTGTCTCATCAATTTTTGAAGCAACTGTACAGTGGTTATAATCAGAATTTACCATCATGGATCCTGCATCTGAATGCTATTTTTGTCGTGACTACATGCAGGGTTCGGGGCTCATACCCTTCCGCGGGAGGGAGGGAGGGAGGAGTAGTAGCAGCAGCAGCAGTGGGCCCCCAGCGTGGTGGTGGTGGTGGTGGCTCCACATCCTCCTTGGGCGGTCGTCCACCCCGGCAGCGGGGTAAGCATTTTTGAAGCTTATCTCTGCAACAGGGGAGTGGGGGGGGCATACATTCGGCGAGAAGCCAGCTCACAACTTATTGTCTACTTCAGGCCTTGTGGGGACTTTCCTCATGGGCGGAGAGAGCACCCACGTCATACAACTGCCGAACCCATGATCACATATCCCTGTCGCACACAGATTGCGCCTGTGTATTCCGGTTTGGAGGCAGTGGGTGACCGATCCCTGGACTTTCCAGGTGGTGACATACGGTTACAGGATACCGCTGAAATCTCCATCTCCCATTGGGAGCACTGCCAGGGGACTTCCGCAAGGCGTAAACAATCAGACAGGAAGTAGACAGTTTGCTAGAAAAGGGTGCCATACACAAGGTAGATCAGCCGGCATTAAGTCCAGGCTTCTACTCAAATGTGTTCGTAGTACCAAATCTACAGGTTGCAGACGTCCAGTTCTGGACTGAATCAGTACATACGTGCTCCTCGATCGCTTCTGCATGGAGATGCCATGCAACGTTCTTTATCCATCCACTGTCTCGACTGGCTAGCCTCACTAGACTTACGCGAGACCTACCTGCACATACCAATGCACCGGCGAGTTGCCATCTCATTTGATTTGCCCAGGTGGGCCAAGTATTTGAATCTCAGGTGCTCCTTTTTCGGCTTATGCACAGCTCCCTACGTTTCGCCAAAATGCATGACACAGGCGTTATGCAGCCGCCTCGTGCACACCTACGGTAACTTGACAGGCGAGTTTTCTCTTGGACCAAGCGAAGGAAGCCCTGACCAGGTGGTCGTCAATGGCCTACCTCAGGCAGGGGGTCCCCTTGGACCCACTTACCACAGCCATGACTCTAGTAACAGATGCCTCCTTCAAAGGCTAGGGAGCGCATCTATTGGACGAACAAGCCCAAGGTATATGGTCCCGCATTGGATTCGGGACCGCTATATCAACTGGCTCGAACTGAAAGCAGTGCACTTAACACATTTTCTACCCATAGTTCGAGACCGCAGAGTCCTGCTCCGCACAGACAACACAGCGGTGGCCTCCTACATCGACGCGTTCCCCATTGGTGTCAGTCCTAGCAGAGCAAATTCTCATTTGGTGCCTGGAATACAATGTGGAGCTAACCGCACACCACCTTCCAGGGGTGAGGAACAGTCTGGGAGACGCCCTTCAAGGTGTCTCCGTCTCCAGAACACGAAGTGGCAGATACCCCAGTGGGTAGCCTCCAGGCTGTTTTGGCTGTGAGACGGTCCAAACATAGACCTGTTTGCCACACCCCGGAACACCAAAATCCTGACGTACGTAACACTCCTGCCGACTTTAGGAGCCTGGGCCAGGGATGCCTTGTCGATCCCGTGGACCCACATAGATGCGTACACCTTTCCTCCCTTCCCGCTAGTTCACTGGGTACCAGAAAAATCTTCGACAGGTCCACACCTGCATATTGACACTGATCGCACCCAATTGGCCAACCAATACCTGGTTTCCACTTCTGTTGGAAATGCTAGTCGAAACACCAGTAGTGCTTCTGGGCTTACTGGACCTGCTGTCCCAACCAGACGGCGCACTACCAAAGAGCCCAGCAGTGTATCATTTACACGCATAGAGGCTCTCAGTAGACTCACACAGACGAAAGCCTTGTCTGAGCGGGCTGCCAACATTTTGGCCAGGGCGAATAGGGATTCCACCAAAGCAGCTTACGACTCGAAATGGCAAGTGTACACCAATTGGTACAGCGAAAGGGAGATTGGTCCATGCCATCCCTCTGTTGGCCAGGTAGCAGACCCCTTTGTCCACAAGTTGACAAAGTGGGTTTGTCCTATGCAGCGGTAGTTGGCTACAGGTAGGCCTTGTTCCCCACCATTGACAATGCTTTGGGATCAAGACTAGCTGATTGTCCTATTATAAGGAGACTGTTTGCTGCCATAATCAGAGGCCAAGACCCCGAACAAGGGAACCGTCCAACTGGGATTTGTCGATTGTGTTGTCAGCTCTAAGCAGACCATCCTTTGAGTCTCTCCAATCAGCACCAATCAAATTTTTTACGTGGAAAACAGTCTTCCTACTGGCCTCGCCTCAGGTAGGCATCGATCAGAACTGGGGGCATTGTCCTTCTCGAACGGATGTACTTCCTTTATGGACAATCAAGTTGTATGCTAAAGACACAAATCAGGTTCTTGCCAAGAACCAAATCCCAGGACACGATCCATAGCTGATCATCATCCCCCGGCTGTCAAACATTGTCGGCCTGGAGAATCAGGAGGAATTGCTTCTCTGCCCGGTTCGAGCACAAAAGTTGCTACAAAAACCGTACTAGGGATTTGAGACGGGGTGCCAAGCACATGTTTTTGTGTTACGGCCAAGGCAAGCAAGACAGGCCAGTCATCCAAACTTCCAACTCCAGGTGGATTCCTGCAAGTACAAGCGCATGGGGTCCGTGCGATTGCTAACTCACTAGCACTACCGTCAGGCGCTCCCCTCGAATATTTATTGAGGGCAGGTTTCTGGAGAATGCAGAACGTCTTTATCAACTACTAGCTAAGAGATACTCAATCTATTGAGGAGGGTCTCTTCAGGATGGCTCTCGTCATAGCAGGTCAGACTTTGGTTGCTGACCCAGCCCGAACGACCGCATAGACGATAAGTCAGTCTCAGCAATTTTGCAGACAGAATTCTATCTTCAGCACCCCCTGGAATTACCAAGTCTCGCTTTAGGCCTATGCCCTCATGCAGAACTGTTTCTGCCTATATTTAAAGCTTGTGACCCCAGAAGTGGGGTTAGGGGTCTAGCATTCTCGAGCACACCGACCCCCGTCACCGTGGCAGCCTTTGGCTCTTGCTCCGTGGATGGCACAGGCAAGGCAAGACACCATTTTCTGTATTGGTCTTAACTAGGTGGTAGTCTATTACTGGAGAGCATTATCCCGGACTAAGACACACTTTTCCTCACTTTCTGTTTACTCAGAAACCCGCCACCTATCGGCGTCTGACTCTGCCTACAGTTCAAAATAGTCATTTTGACTGACTGGAGTCTATGGTGGGTAATTGAACGTAGTGAATTTTGGCAGAACCCTCCTATTCACTTAGTTCATAGCCACCATAGACTCTGGCTAATGGTTACGCCTCATGGCCTTGGTCTCGTGGTTCGTGACGTGAGGACAAATCTTGAGGTCATGGTCTTCCCCTGACCTAGATTTATTTCTCTGTCATTGGCTGAATCACAGATTAATGCCTACAGTTCAAAATAGTCATTTTGACTGACCGGAGTCTATGATGAGTATGAACTACATGTATGT